ATATCAAGTAATGATCTCAAGTCTCTAATTTTGAATAATTTTGTCACATCTCAGTAATCATGGATACTACAAAACTGATAACGTTTGGACTTGACACTTCATCATGCAAAGTTTTGTCTTTTGTGAACTTTTGTCGCAAACAAATATTTTAAATAGTCTATCTTACAACAAAATTTACAATTATAGACCAGAAACAAATCACGTGTACAATCACGTGAAAAGTAAGCTTTCCTCCAGAAGTAGGCAATTTCTAAAGAACATACCTAAAACTTTTTGTAATGTCATCATCTGGTTTGGAATAAGATAAATAGATAAATCACTGTATGAATGAGGAAAAAAATTCTTCTTGATGAAGAAACCATCAGATAAAATTAAAATTATTGCATATAAAATATGCATAACTGGAATTGTGACGTGTCATAACTTTGGTTTATCTTGTCGATTTTTGCTCTGCCATTACCAATGATATTTGAAAAGACTAGTGAAATTAATTTGGTGATCAAGAAAGGTAAGTATTTTGAAATGATAAATTATCCAATGTGTTATTGGGAAAAGCCCACCAAAATCAACAGATGTATCAATATAAAACATATGAAGGGCGAATTCCTCCACAAAAATGACATTCAGGTTTTTTATGACATTTATAAAAAAATTCTAGACATAAAAACAAACAATGACACTCTAATAGGTGAACTTTATAATCAACATACCTTAACAAATTTAGAAAGATTAAAGAAGACGCAACCATCTACATGATGTCTTTGCTTTTTCTTGATAATAAAGAAATTGGAATGTTTAATAAATGCTTGATTTTAATCACCTGCTGTTTTTATTGTAAAATATTGAATTCTATTCATAACAGCGAGACGATAAAATGAGGTGAGCAAATTTTAATTGAAATATACACGACAGGGATTGACTTAGAAATTTTATTGCAAATTCAATTTCAATTCAACTCAATAACTCATAAATGTTGTACACATTTGATTTAACAATTATTAATTTTCAGTATTACATGTGGGTGTACGGGACCAAAAACATCAGGATGCGGACACCTGGCTCGACAAAGCGGAAATCCTTTACATGCAGTGTCGTAGTTAGACATGAAGAAAGACATGAACTTCTGGGGAGCATGTTTTCGCGCAAACGCGTGAGTGCACCTGGCGAGGTCTATAAAGTCATGCTCACCTTTGAAATTTCTAAATCTGGAGTTCGTCAAAACGATTGCCGTGTTTCTGGGTGTGATTTGCCATAATTTGAAGTCATTTGCTACAGGAAAACATTATTTTTATTGTTTACTTGCTACAAAGCTACTGCCAAAAATTGGATTTATTTTAAAATTCTTTTGTAGAATTTCACTAGTTTAGTAAGGACGACTTTCAAAGTAATTACAGCATTACTGAATAATTTAGTATCTTAAATAACAGTGCTTCTATCAAATTGTGAGGATGTCGATACTGTCATAAATTTATTCTCCTTGGTGACATGTCAATGAATAAAATCAACTGAGTTTTAACCAAAGCATAATTTTATCACTTATAATGTCGGATTTTCTTTACAATAACTACGAAAAGTGGGCCGTTCAGATTATGGGCCTACATGCTTTGCTTGGTACTCGACTTTAATATAGCGTTTGTTTTTGAGGACAGTGTTATCTTAGAGATTAGAGGAGGCTTTTATCGTCTAATCCCAAAGGTGATTGATGACGGTATAAGGGTTTGATTATAAAATCTTGATTGGCTAATTTTATAATGAAACAAATATGGCGGATTCAACTCTCGTCTTTCGTCTTTCAAAAAAATTTTAATTGACGATATATTTTCTTTTACTTTGGAACAACAGAATGTTTTCTGTTAGGATTGTAGATGCAGATTTTTACATGGGGAAAACAGATGGCTTAGATATTTTGTTTCTAAATTTCGCGAAGGCGAATGTTAACCGTGTTCCTGTTTGAGGATATTTGACCAACTCCTGGTGGACAGAAAACTTGTGTTCATATATTCATCAATATTTCCTTACCTTATATACATACCTTGATGGAACTAAACCCACAGAATAAATATCTGAAACAATTTACGACAAGTGTGAACTTTTGCTGTTCAAGTTGCGTTTAGTAGAACATCATCTTCTATGAAATATGTTCATAAAACTGAAATTGTTAAAAAAATGTAAGTTATTTTCCTTGTTTTCTCCTCCTGTTGAACAAGCTTACTATTATTGAATCTTTTTTACTCTCTTTCTTTACATCACAATGGAAAATCTTCCATTTTCGACCCAATAACGTTTCAATATTATTCACCCAAAATGATTTTATTTTTTAGACCATTTTATGGTTATCATGAGACGAAGTTTATTAAATGGAGTTGTACAATCCAAGAGATAATTCCAAGCAAGATATATTTTTCATGTTGTTCTAACATAAAACGATCAAAATTTTCATTTTCAGACTTGTTGATCTTCTTCAGAATGGAGCTATATTGAACAAGTCATTTCAAGCACCTGAAGCTCATGTTCCTTATATTCTCAGGTAATTATTGTTTTTATTATTAATGAGGAAAAAACACATTTTTTGATTGTTATAACAGACTGGAGTGGTTAGTTTGTAAACTGTGCACCAGACAGGGCAAGGCCTGCAAAGTTTGTTATTTCTTTAGAAATTAATCTCATTCATTGTTTTTTCAAAGTAATTGATTAAAGCAATATTTGTATTGTACATAGGAGTAAAAAATGGACTGACTTTTCTACCGACATCAGAGATGCAACATTTGCGTATAGGTGCCCACTTATAATTATACATCAGATCTCAGGTGCCCATAAAACATTCCATTATGGATTATAGCTGTAAAATTTCATGTGCAAAACATTTTGTCAATAAAGTGTTTGAACTACTGTTATTGTGGAAGTATAGCTGCATGTTTGTTGATGTTGATCATAAAGGATACTACAGTATTGAGAAGGACTGTTTGGGGTAGTCTTGATTGATGTTTTCACATCTAGATGAGATGATTACTGGTAGCAATGTTAAAATGTCATTCAACACTAATGCCACTGACCTTCTTTAGTCTTTTCCTACCTGGGTGGTCAACTTCTTTAGATTTTCACTAAGTTAAATTATAAGAATTATATTTAAATATTATTTATTTTAGTTTCTAATTGATTACAATCTTTATGGTATGAACTTACTTCATGTAAGAAAAGTTCATTTTAGAGGAATTTCATTTTCAAAAAGAGGAAAGTTTTATTATTGATTTTTTCAGCATTGTTTAAAAATCAAATACCACAAATGACTCATTTACTGTTCTTATCAGTTGTAAAGACATTAGCCAAAAATGTCTGGTCATGTCATTCACTCCTAAACTGGATAAAACTTTATAAATTTTATAAACTAGACAAACTAATATAAACTTTTTATAGTTTGTACACAATTTCTCTAATGTTTTGGAAAAACAATAAGAAAAATTTCCTTGCAAAATGAAATATTAACTGTTAAATACAATGCCAGAGCTTTTCAAGATGCCCTTGGAATAAATGGCGTAGCAGACTCGTATTTTGGGCAGGAGGCACATATTCATATATTCATGTTCTGCCACATTAAATTCCTTTGAAATCCATTGTTTTCAACAGATTAAGACATGCATAAATGAATTCGTGCCCCGCCCTGCGCCACTGCTGGCATTTTTTATGTATTAGTAAATCTGGTAGTCTAAAATCTGGTAGTCGGACAGTTAAATGTGTCATTTTCACTTCTGTCAATGCTATGGCAATGATATCCTGCTTTTTCTTCTTCAGGTTGTTTATAACTTTTACTTTACATTGCCTTTATAGTTTGAACTATAATAAAGTATTATTGAATCAATCATTAAATGATTAAATCAATTATTAAATAAATTATTTCCTCCAAAATAAAAAAAAACAAACATTTTCACGACAATTAAGATTTTAGTCTCCAAATCAAGTATGATTGAATCAAATAACAATAACTGCATGTCCATTTCAAACAACTGTAATTCTCATAAATGCAAATTATATTTTGTAAATTATATGAGCGAATAGAAATAAATATAGAAAAGACTGTATTCATACTTATATTGCAAAGCAAATATTGTGGGCTTTTCAGCATTTCAAAAAAGGATGTTACATGATTATGGTTGCTGTAAGATCAGTATTTACTCTCATTGTACAAGAAAATGACACAACAACATTCATTTTAAGAAACTTCAAAATTTCTGAATAGCTAGATATTGCAAACTAAACTCATAAATATACTTTGATAGTTCCATACAAGTTTCTTTATAAAAACTGTTCCAGTAAATAAATGAGAGTTGAAAACTTGAAAATACAAATGTTTGAATATTGTCAATAATAAATTTATATCTTTTAGGAATATACAACTGTTGTTGTTTGAACCTTTCTTAAAAGAAATCTACAATATAACTGTTTTTTTTTAACATAATTCCTATTGCTTATTTATAAAAATCTTTTGCTTTTTCGTACTCTCCCATTTTACTATAAACCAAAACTAGATTGTTGTACATTGTCGCAATATTAGCATGGTCAGGTCCAAAAGCTTTCGTTTTCATTTCCATTGCTCGTTCACAAAATTCTTTTAATTTTTCGTACCCTCCCATTTTACTATAAACCAAACTCAGATTTTTGTACGTTTTTGCAATGTTAACATGGTCAGGTCCAAATGCTTCTGTTTCAAATTTCATCGCTTGTTCAAAAAGACCTTTTGCTTTTTCGTACTTTCCCATATCATCGTAAACCAAACCCAGATTGTTTTAGGTTGTCGCAATATTAACATGGTCAGGTCCAAATGATTTTGTTTCAATTTCTATCGCTTGTTCATAAACATCTTTTGCTTTTTTGTACTCTCCCATTTTACTGTAAACTGAACCCAGATTGTTGTACGTTGTAGCAATGTTAACATGGTCAGGTCCAAATGCTTTTGTTTGAATTTTAAGCGCTCGTTCATAAACATCTTTTGCTTTTTTGTACTCTCCCATCTTATCGTAAACCGAACCTAGATTGTTGTACCTTATCGCAATATTAACATGCTCAGGTCCAAATGCTTTTGTTTCAATTTCTATCGCTCGTTCATGAAAATCTTTTGCTTTTTCGTACTCTCTCATGTTACTGTAAACTGAACCCAGATTGTTGTACGTTGTAGCAATATTAACATGGTCAGGTCCAAATGTTTTTGTTTGAATTTTTATCGCTTTTTCATAAAAATCTTTTGCTTTTTCGTACTCCCCCATATTATTGTAAGCTGAACCCAGATTGTCGTACCTTATCGCAATATTGACATGGTCTGGTTCAAATGTTTTTGTTTCAATTTCTATCGCTCGTTCAGCAAAATCGTTTGCTTTTTCGTACTCTCCCATTTTACTGTAAACCGAACCCAGATCGTTGTAAGTTGTCGCAATATGAACATGGTCAGGTCCAAACGGTCTTGGTTCAATTTTTATCGCTCGTTCATAAAAAGCTTTTGCTTTTTCGTACTCTCCCATATTATAGTAAACCAAACCCAGATTGTTGTACGTTGTCGCAATATTAACATGGTCAGGTCCAAATGTTTTAGCTTGAATTCCCATTGCTCGTTCATGAAAATCTTTAGCATTTTCATAATCTCCATTCTTGCAAAGCAATACACCCAGCTTGTTGTACGAATATGACACATCAATATGATCAACACCTAACACTTTAGTTTGAATTTCTGTTATTTCATAAAGTACTTTAGTTGCAAGTTTGTAGCTGCAAAATCTCTCCAAAACATCTACAAAATATTTGGCAAATTTCCAATTTCTTTCATGAAGTTTTCGTTCTCTTATGAAAAAAAAGACTGATTTTACATCGATCAACTTTTTTAGGAAATGTTGAAATGATGAATTTGTTATGAATTTAATTAGATGTGGAATTATTTTGATTTCATCTTCTCTGTCTTTAAAATGATTTAGTGCACAAGCAACTTGACAGGCAAGATCAACTGAAGACTTTTTAAAATTAATTTTGCTTTGTTTACAGCCAAAGGTCTGCGATGAATAATTTATGATGGCTTCGTGTACAACGCTGTGCAGGCGGATGTCGTTGTTTTCCGTTTGAAGGAATAAAGAACATTGCTTTAATTGAAGACAGACATCTTCTGCAGATTTTTGTTGGTCAATGCTTTTAATAAATTGTATTATAACATCTTGTGGTAAGGGATCGAAAGATATTATTGAGAAAAGTTTAAAAACATTTTCCAATAAGATGGATTCTTCACCATTTTTCTGTACTGCTAACATAACAGCTTTCATTCCTAAGTAAGCTGAGTTTATTTTTTGAAAATTGCCATCCATGTTCTGTCGCTCTCCTTCATTCAATTTACCAAAATATTGCTCCCAGGTGAAGTTTGGATTTACACTTTTTACACTACCTACGTAGGAAGCAGCATTTGCCAGGAACAATGGTTGACGATCAAATTTGTCTGATAAATCCTTTAAACATTTTTCATCATGATTTCGAATATCAGAAAAGAAAGATAGAAGTTTTTGACATTCTTTATTGTTCATACCATGACTAACTGAAATGTGTTTATTTAGACTTCCATCTGGTGGTATAGCATCTGTATTTTGGACAGTTACTATAATTTGTCCATTTTTCCAATTATGATCACCAACTTGAGGTAACAATGGATAAATTTTATGAAGTTCAACCACGTTATCTACAACAATCCACCATGTTTGCCAAGATTTCAGTTGTTGTGTCAGCAATAATTGAAAATCTTTGATTTTGTCTTCGCTACTTTTTGCTTCTTTCCGAATATTTTCAATGACAGTTTTATCATTGCTTAATCGTTGATAAAGTTCAGCATAAGTTTTCAAAAGAGAGTCGATATCTTTTCCTTCGAGTGTCATCACAAATGTCGTATTCTTTTCCCAGTCAAACGAATTGTACATTTCTTCACAAATTTGTCTGGCTAATTGAGATTTACCACTGCCAGGATTACCAGAAATATAGTAATATGTTAGTTCATTATTGTTAGTACTGCGCAATTTGTTGAGATCAGCTGTGATTTGATTAAGTAACTCTGTACGTTTAACCACATCGTGATTTGATTTGCAAGGAAGTACTTGAAAAGAATTAAATCTGTTTCGTTGACGTTTAATTTCATTAATTTCAGTGAATGAAAATGCTAGATCTTTAAATGAAAGTTCAATATCACAAAGCATTTTGTCAAATTCGGCATCAGATACCCTTCCCGGATTATTATGGGTAAATTTGTTTCTTACAATACGAAGTGCATCGATTGCAGATCTAGTTGTTGCTCCAAGTTTTGTTCCAATTGAGTTGGAATACAGTATTGCTGCAAATAGTGTTGTACAATCCCACTTACTGGTGTCACCATCTTGAAATTTTGTTTCAATATGTTTGTCATGACGTTTCTTTTTTGTTGTTTCAATATTGAACAACTTCTGACCACTAACGTTTGTATTATCCCATTCTCCATGGAATTTTTTGTAATGAGTGTTCCACTCTTGGATAAATAAATCAACAAGTTTCTTTGTAACAACATCTGAAAGTATTTTCTGAATGTAGTAGTTATTCCTTTCTTCTCTTGACTCCATCTACGGATTATAAAAGGATTAAGATGAACATGGATATAGTTTATTATCTATAATTTATGGACAACTGACATTTGTTGAATATTATCAGTTCGTAAATTTTTAGTTGTATATGAAAGTGGTTAATGAAGGTAGTAGCTAAAAACCACCCTGTGAATATTTGTGTTTAAAGTTGTCCTGCATTTAGGCATTTCTGTGGAAGTTAGACAAGTTTTTAAAATCCTTCATATATAACTTGTATGCCTTCATGGTCATTCTACCGTGTCGTCAAGAAAAGTGAAGCAAGTTTAGTTTCTAGGTTTTAGTTTATATAAGTTTAAAACTTATGTAACGACTGCGCATAAAAAAATAGACCAGGTGGAGAAAGGTTATCGTACTCCCACCGCAGGAGTTTACTTGAGTAGACTTTTTGCTCATTAGTGGGGCATTGATTTTAAAAAACGATGTCATACGGGTAATTTTAGGGCTTCAAGCCTCCTTTTTATAAAAATTGTTATTTTAGCTTTATTTCCAATAGACGTACGCTTTTGCATCGTAAGACGTTTAAATATATCAAAAAAAAATAATAAAGGTCCAGAAGAAAAATAGAAAGACATTTTACCTTGAGATTTGTCTAAATCTTTAATGCTTTCTGGTGAACGTCATTTCCTGGCGTACGTCTGCAAAGAAATTTTTTGGAAACGAACTTTACCAGAGGCGCCAGAGCCACGGGGGCAGACGGTTGCCCCTTTTCACATTTTGAACAAATAGTAGACGTATATCTTATTTCCCGATATGCAAGTTCCCCACTTACAGATTCTTCGACTTTTATCTGATTTGAAGTCTTGTTAGCTGGTGTGTCTTTAATTCTGCTGTAATTTAGCGCGCATTTTATAAACCATTTTGATTAATTTCTAAGGAAGAAATAAACATTAGTTTTGAAGGCAGAGAATGTAATGTATAAGCACTGTTTACTTTGAAAAATTTACATGTTAAATTAGAAACGTTTTTGTTATGAGGAACATAAAACTTCGCGTTTGTGGAAACGGCAACTACATAGTCGAAATTTGCTGGCAAAATTTTTCATCGCTTGTGTTGAGTCCTGTTCGTAAGGAACAAAAATATGTTTAAGGAATTAGAATGTACATAGTTGGGTTTACCAGTGTATCCGTTCCCATACGGTTAACTTCCAAGAAACACTTATTGACGTCATATATGACGTCCTTATGTACCTTATATAGATTAGATAGAACAACTATTTGACCAATGATAATATTTATTATTTGTAATGAACACTATATAAATATTGCTCTGTAAAACTATAAAATGGAGTTTTACACAAGAGGGAAAAGAAATTCCTCCTCCTGATACGGCGACGATTGCGACGAAGAATGCATTTCAATTAAGGTCGGATAAGGCCTACTCTCTTATAGCTCTAAATGTAGAAAAACATTTACAAATAAATATTTCTGGAACCACAGATCCGCTCATCGCATGGAAAAACTTAAAAGCTCAATTCGAATTTATCTCAGTCGCACAAATAGACTGAATCGGAAATTTTTCCTGCGAGCATGGAAATAGGGGGAGATTTTCTGAAGCATATCACATGTATGACCACATAGCAGAACAACTGCGTGAAATGAATGTGGAAATTCCGTCAAAAAAATTCGCAATAGTACTGTTAGGTAGTCTACCAGAGTCTTACGAGAACTTCATTACTAGTTTAAACGCCAGAAAAGTTGAAGATATGGATTGGGATAATATAAAAGGTTTGTTGGTTGAGGAACATCTTAAACGTAAAGAGAAGAAAGAAGATAAGAAAGAAGACAATGCATTATACATGAGAAAAAACGAAAACTACGATGGAGGAAAAACGTCTTCCGAAAATTGACCTCCGTTCCAATGTCTTCGGAACACGAAGAATAACCACAACAGCAACGTTTCTTAAACAATTTTTATTCTTACTCTCGCTTCTCTCCCTTGTCTCGCCTCTCTCACTTTTGTTCTCTCCTCTCTCTACTTCCGTTCCACTCATGTTGTCTGCATTGTTCCCTATCGTCCCCGACGTACTCGAATGTACAATTGAAACCCAACACAACTTTAACATAATTTGCAACAAAGGCATGACTTTGGAAAAGTCAATGAAAGGCCTAGAGGAGAAATTCCACAACACAGCAAACCAGGATGGAGCATGAGAAGAGATGAAAGAAGGTGTGGTTCCAATAAGGGAAGAAATGTAACTTTTTTCAGATGTAACCAGTTGTGACAAATAGCAAGAAATTGTCCGTTAAATGCAAGCAATAAGAAAGAAGGAAGTTCATGTGTTATTGAAGGCAATGATGTTGCTTTTATTCATGATATTAAACCCTCTAATGAATGATTCATCGATTCCGCTGCAACAAAGCATATGACACACAACCAAGATTTGTTGGTGGACTATGTTGAATATCAAACATTAACAAAAATATATTTAGGAGACAGCACTGTGATACATGCTCTTGGTGAAGGTCTGGTAAATTTATTATACCATGTTGAGCTGCACAAAGTTTTGTATGTGCCAAAGCATGCAAAAATCTACTCTCCCTACCAGCAATGATTGCCATGGAAACCAAAGTATAGTGTAAGGAATGGATAATGGAAGACACGAGAAAGCTGCAAACAATTGTGAAGGATGCAATAGCGGAAAGATGCACAGAACTCCTTCTCCTCAAGCAAGTCAACACACAGCTACTAAAGCATATGAAGTTGTCCACAGTGATGTATGTGGCCCCATGCAAGTTGAATCGAAGGGAGGCAGTAGATATATGGTAACATTTATTGACGACTATTCATGGTTCGCAGTTGCATACTTCACAGCGCAAGAGTGATGTACTCGCAACGTTTAAAGAATTTGTTAACAATATGAAAATCCAGAGCTCAAACAAACGACATGTGAAGATCTCAAGGAGTGACAATGCTGGGGAATACACATCAAACGATTTCATCAATTATTGCGCTAACGAAGGAATAAATCAAGAATTCACAAGCACATACTGCCCAGAACAGAACGGAGTGGCAGAGCGTCTCAACCGTACAACGCTGGAATCTGCCAGGTCAATAATATACACTGCTGCATTGTCATTGAACTTCTGGTCAGAAGCTTGTAATACCGCCATTTATCTTCATAATCGAAGTGCCACAGCTACATTAATGAACAAAACACAATTTGAATGCTTATTTGGAGAGAAGCCTGATCTTTTAAAACTAAAGATGTTTGCATGCAAATGTTTTGTACACGTCCTAAGCTGTAATCGTCAGAAGCTTGATCAAAAATGAAACGAAGCAATCTTTGTCGATATCCTTCGGGCACTAAAGGATACAAGGTATTTGACTTAAACAAAAACCGTCTTACAATCAGTAGAGACGTAGTATTTCTTGAAAACAAATTTCCTTTGCTGAACAATCACAGCAGAGGAATGTCGATATGTTAAGCGATACCGTTGTTCATATGGACGAAGAAGATGTAACATCAGAAGAAAAACAGAATGAAGGAACCAACGAAAATGCTGATACAACTGATCCAAAAGAGCAAGCGACACAGGATGTGTTTCAACAAAGGATGACTATAAATGATTAACAATGCTCAAGCAGAGAAGATACTGAGCAAGTGGGAGAACATGTAGAACAAACAATTCGTGAGACATACGAAGATTCATTTATGGAAGATGTATGCAGATTAAATAAAAGCATTTATGGCCTCAAGCAATTGGCTCGATGTTGGTATGATACGCTTCATAAATATCTATTATCAATTGGCTATCGAAAGAATGATGCAGACGGATGTATATATGTTAAATCAGTGAAGAAGGACAATGGGCACATTAGTTTTGTGATTCTAGAAGTTTACGTCGACGATATATTGCCTGTGTCCATCGATGTCGAGATGCTTAATTAATGCATAAAGACAAGCACTATGCCAAAAATTCAGGATGGATGATCGTGGAGAAGTTCACTTCTTATTGGGAACGCTGATCAATCATAATCACAAGGCGAAGACAATAACAATAAGTCAACGAAATTATATGGAAAAGATATTGAAAAGATTTGGTATGGAATCATGCAAACCGATGTCCACACCGATGAAAAATGGCAAGAAATCTCATGAAGTGCAAGAAAACGAGAAGGTTTGTTGATGTGCAGACATATCAACAAAATACAGGATGTTTAACGTATTTATCAGTAATTACTCGTCCCGATATCAGAGCAGCTGTAAATGTCCTATCTAAATACAAGGCAAAACCAAGCAATGATCATTGGATCGGGGTGAAGCGTGTTCTTTGTTATCTAAAAGTAACGTTAAATTATGGACTGAAGGATACCGCTGAAATTAGTTGGTTTTTAGATTCCGATCGGGCGAGAGGTATAGATTTGAGAAGATCTACATCAGATTACGTTTTTAAACTTGGAGGAAACACAGTGAGTTAATCAAATAAGAAGCATGCTACTGTTGCCAAATCTTTTACTGAGGTGGAATATGTTGCATTGTTTATAGCAACGGAAGAAACGATTTGATTGAGAATGTTATTGAGCGATTTGAGATTAAACACGAAGACGGCCATCATTAATTTTGAAGATAACGAAGGTGCGCTAGAGTTGGCCAAAAACTGAAGCCACCCCAGCTGTACTAAACACATAGATATATGTCATCATTTTGTTTGTGAAAGGATCTCGTCAAAGAAAATTAAAGTGGAATATTGTCCAACCGAAAGGATGATCGCTGACATAATGACAAAGGCATTGCCCAAGGCAACATTTGAAAAGTTTAGAAATGTATTAAATGTTTATTTAGTTTAAAGACGAAATTTCTCGCACAACCATCAAGTGGGGGAGTGTTAGAATTATGATAGTTTGCGAGAAGAGATATTCAATAGTTAAAAGATATGTAGATAGTTCAGTTTACGACGTCATTCATATATGTAAATTAATACATATTTTAGAGAGCACGTGGTCTTGTAGACACTGGGAGTGCAAGTTGTTAGTTTTAATTATACTTATTTATAATTTTACCAGCAAGCGTCGACGTGTTATTTAAACAGATAAGAACGATAGTTATTATTCAATTTGAATAACTGTATAATTTGTTTCCGAAAAATACAGCAGAGTGATTGACTATAGTTTTTGAATGAAAGTCATCTTCGGTTGAATTGAAATTTCTATGCAATATGCACATAAAATTATCAGGAAAATCTTTAACAATTGATCATTTCATAGTTATATAAATCAAAAATACATCGATAACATTTGCACTAAACACTAGTGTTGTAAATATATCTTGTTTAATTGGTATTAATGTGGGAAAGGTTGGTAGTTTCACAGTGTAAATCACTCAAAATTTATCTGCGTTTGAAAATCCCACCAAAATGAAGAAATTTTATCCATATAAAACATACGTGGCACTAATTTATAAGTTATATTTAACTACAATGTTCGTGACATTAAAAAACAAAACACTTGATACATGGACACAAAACATTAAATCAGAAGGTTAAATTACACTATTACATAAAGCGAGTAAACTTTAAAATCAACATACCTTCACAAATTCAGAAAGATTAAAAACGACGCAACCAATTACATGATGTGTTTGCTTTTGCTTGATAATAAAGAAATCGGAATGTTAAATAAATGCTTGATTTTAATCACCTGCTGTTTTTATTGTAAAATATTGAATTCTTTTCATACGCAATAGAATATGAAATGCTAATTTCTTATTCTAGCTATGACTGAAGTAAACAAAGAAGTTTTGAATTGGAAGCTTTATGCCAATAAACCTTTCACAGTTTACTATAATTTGTTTCAATTATTCAACATCCTGACTTACATACAAACTAACTGAAATAATCATAAAGGAAGAAGGGCAGCCAGCCTTTTTCAAATGTGATAGCTCAAAAATTATCGATTTATAATTAAAGAAGTTAAGAAAATCGATAAACAGAGCTTCTCTGAAATTCTCAGCGTTCCAACTTTGAAACGTTGTCAATGAAGTTTTGTCATTTTATAAACTTTTGATCCAGATAAACAAATAATCTGATGCGGCGCGTGAGAAACAAGTAAAAGTTAGGGGGCTCAAGATTTTGGGGGCAATCTTTATTTAAAAAGGGAATTTCAGAGTAATTAATCTTGAAGTTTCTATGTTTAAATAATTTTGTCACATCTCAGTAATCAGAGATACTTCAAAATTGATAGCGTTTGGACTTGACAGTTCATCATGCAAAGTTTTGTAAATTTGTGAGCTTTTGACGCAAACAATTATTTTAAATAGTCTATCTTACAACAAGTTTAAAAATTATAGCAGAAAAAAATCACGTGTACTATCACGTGAAGAAATGAGCTTTTCACTACAAGTAGGCGCAATTTCTAATGACATACCTAGCAAAACGTTTTTATGTCGTCATCTGTGTTAGGAATAAGATAAATAGATAGATGACTGTAGGAATGAGGAAAAATATTTTTCTTGAGAAAAGCCAAGTTAGATAAAATTAAAATTATTGCACATAATGATATGCATGACTGAAATTTTGTGATGTGTCATAATTTTGATTCATGTTGTTGATTTTTAGCCCTGCCGTACCAATGATATTTGAAAAGACTAGTGAAATTAATTGTTGGTGACAATGCGAGAAACATCAGTATTTTGAAATGATAAATTATCCAATGTGTTATTGGGAAAATCCCACTAAATCAACAGATGTATCAATATAAAACCTATGAAGTGCAAATTCCACCACGAAAATATCATTCAGGTTTTTTATGACAAATATAACAAAATTCTAAACATAAGAACAAACAATGACACTCTGATTGGAGAACTTTATAATCAACATACCTTAACAAATTCAGAAAGATTAAAGAAGACGCAACCATCTACATGATGTCTTTGCTACGATTGATAATAAAGAAAGTGGAATGTTCAATAAATGCTTGATTTTAATCACCTGCTGTTTTTATTGTAAAATATTGAACTCTGGTCATAACAGCGAGACGATAAAATGAGATGAGCAAATTTTCTATTTTAGCTATAATTGAAATATACACGACAGGGATTTATTTAGAAATTTTATTGCAAATTCAATTTCAGTTCAACTCAATCAACTCATAAATGTTGCACACATTTAACTATTATTAATTTTCAGTATTGACAAGGGTGTACGGGACCAAAACATCAAGATGCGGACACTATTTTGCTCGACGAAAGCGCAAATCCTTTACATGCAGTGTCGTAGTTAGACATGAAGAAAGACATGAACTTCTGGGGAGCATATTTTCTAACGCCAAAGGCGTAAGCCTTTCTAGCGAGGTCTATAAAGTCATGCTCACCCTTGGATGATTTCTAAATCTGGAGTTCTTCAGTAACGATTTCCAGTGTTTCTGAAGAGTAATTTTCCATAATTCTGGATGTTATTTGCGACAGGAAAAACATTATTTTTATCGTTTACTTAAACAAAGCTACTGCCAAAATTCTTGGATTTAATTTTAAAATTTCTTTGTTAGAAAGTTTCACCTAGTTTAGTAAGGACGACTTTCAAAGTAATTACAGCATTACTGAGGTAAATTTAGTATCTTAAATAGCAGTTCAAAATTGTGAGGATGTCGTGATATTGTCATGATAAATTTATTCTCCTTGGTGACATGTCAATAAATAAAATGTTCAGATTGGCTTTTAACCAAAAGCATAAATTTATCACTTATAATGTCGGATTTTTCTTTACAATAACTACGAAAAGTGGGCCGTTCAGATTGTGGGCCTACATGCTTTAGCTTGGTAAGCTTTCCCTACACCCCGACTTTTAATTGCAGCGTTTGTTTGAGGACAGTGTTAACTTAGAGATTAGAGGAAGATCTTTACCCCATCTAATCTCAAAATAGTGATTACGATGATTTGGTTTAAGGGTATGCTTATAAAATCTTTGATTGGCTAATCTATAATCTAAAACAAATATGGCGGATTCAACTCTCGTCTTTCGTCTTTCAAAAATTTTAATTGACGATATATTTTCTTACTTGGAACAACAGAATGTTTTCTGTTAGGATTGTAGATGCAGATTTTTACGTGGGAAAACCTATAGATGGCTTAGATATTTTGTTTTCTAAATTTCGCGAGGCGAATGTTAACCACTACTGTGAAGGTACCACAGGATTCATCCTGACATTCATCCTGACATTCATCCTCACATTCACCACAGGATTCACCACAACATTCAAAATTAGCATAAAGTGTGAAGTTGACACCACATTCATTTTAATGTTATTAAATAACATCAGTTTCAGAAACAAAATAGAAAAAAACCGTATTTTTTGCTACAAAAAAGCAAAAGATGCACACGTGTTTGGTGCCGTTGTAAAGACCAAGTTATTTAGACAAGGATTATACTATTTTTATTTTGGTCGAAAGTCTTGGAGCAAATCTACAGCCTTTAAAGACTACTTCCGCTTTTGTCTCTTTACGTTAAATAATTGCGCGATGTTTACAATGCATAAATGTTGACATCTAAAAGGCCTAATTTTCAAGAAATAAACACGCTGGAAAATACTTGTGTTTGGTAACATCCGAAAGTACGTTTTCTGAGGATTACAAATATGGTTTTATTATCTTGGTCCAAATTCGTGGGCGAATCTACAGCCGTGCAAAGTCGACTGTGAAGGTACCACAGGATTCAAGATAGTACGGTTTTATACGGTAACACGCTACAATTTACTTGTGTTTAGTATCGTCTTAAGAAGCGTTCTGAGGATTACAAATATGGTTTTATTATCTGGTCCAAATTCGTGAAGCGGTTCTACAGCTTTGGAAAGGCGTGTTTTCATTAATAGGATTAAATGTTGGATACATGGTAATGGAATGAAGTTAACGCGCTGCAATATACTTGGTATCAGGGGTTGAAAATGGATATGGAAGGATAAATCCAAATTCGTGAAGCGGTTCTACAGCTTTGGAAAGGTGAGCATTTTGCGTTAATTAATATTCGCGGTACTTAACTGACATGTTTATATATATCTAATTTTCATGAAGTTAACACGCTACAATTGCTGTGTTTAGTATCGTCTTAAAGATCTTGTTCTGAGGATTAAAATATGGTTTTATTATCTTGGTCCAAATTCGTGAAGCGGTTCTACAGCTTTGAAAGGTGGAGCATTTTGCGTTAATTAATAGGCAAGATTGTCATGTTTCATTATTTCACTAACGTCTAAATACGCCGGAATGTTGGACTAGTTAACACGCTGCAATATACTCGTATTTGGTATCAGATTAAAGATCTTGCTATGAGGATTACAAATATGTCTTTATTATTCGACATTCCAGGAGCGATCTACAGCTTGAAATGTCGAGACGTTTTGCGTTACTTAATATTCGCGGTATAACGACATGTTTATATCTAATTTTCATGAAGTTAACACGCTACAATTTACTTGTTTTGTATCGTCTTAAAGATCTTGTTCTGGGATTACAAATATGGTTTTATTATCTTGGTCCAAATTCGTGAAGCGGTTCTACAGCTTTGGAAAGATAGAGCATTTTGCGTAAAATATTCGCGGTACTTAACTGACATGTTTATATATATATCTAATTTTCATGAAATTAAACACCTTCTAATTGCTTGTGAGCATTGTCTTGCTTGTTCTGAGTTAAAATATGGTTTTATTATCTTTCCAAATTCGTGAAGCGGTTCTACAGCTTTGGAAATGAGGCAAACATGCGTTAATTAATAGGCATGCAGGATTTTGAACTAGTTAACACGCTGTGATAAACTCGTGTTTGGTATCAACTTAGAGATCTTGTTCCGAGTTACAAATAGGAAGAAAAAATTTATTTGTTGTTCTTTGAATGGACATATCATATAGCTATAAACAACATTAATTGCAATAACAGCTTTAAAAGAACATTTTTCAACGTTTTAGTTAATGAATAGGCTAAAAACTTTGCATATTAAAGAACAGCCAAACCAAAGGCTGGATGTCAGATGGCACAATGGTTTGGGCTTCTTCATTAATACTTTTATTAGCTTCACGAAACAAGGTCGCAATACAACGGGGACCTGAATTTGCCTCCATCCGGGAATTTAATTGATTGATAATGAATAGCTGTTTGTAATAATGATTGGACACAGGAAAGATACTTTTTGTTTTTATTTTTTGGCGATTTTTGAACTTTTTTTTCCTCTTTAGTTTAGACTTTCTAACCTCCTTAGTCCCTGCAAAAGATGGTAAGAACAATGTGAGATAACAAAAGAAAATCATATTTATTTTTTGCATTGTTTTGAAATAAGTTTTGTTTTTGATTGATTGAATAGAGTCGGAATCAGAATGTTTTCTTTTTATTCTGTACAGAATACAAAAAACCTTCTTAATTGATGAAGTAACTTTTTAATCTTTTTTGTTTGATATATGTTTAATGAAAATCGTTCTACCTTGTAAATATATTTAAATCGTGAAATTCTTAAAATGACGTTTGCATAAATTAGCATAAACTCAACAATTCGACGAAATAAATAAGACACATATGTTCTATATTGCAACAAATTACATAGCACAAGTGTTGTTCTTTATAGCCGTAGATTCTCTCCTACTTGTGACGATAATCAGAACATCTTTCCAATCTTCAGAATCACATCTTTAAAATGGTACCCAATGAAAAATGATTGCAGCGTGTTTACCTACTTCAAAATCAGACATAAGTACATCTCATTTAAATAACGCACCAATTAATTAAACCAAAAAAGAAAACTATTTCATAAGCTGTAGAACCGCTTCGAATTTGGACCAAGATAATAAAACCATATTTGTAATCCTCAGAACAAGATCTTTAAGACGATACTAAACACAAGTAAATGGCGTGTTAACTTTTGATGTACCTATTAATGTCAGTTATACCGCGAATATAATTAACAGCTCAAAGCTGTCTTCACGAATTTGAATTATAATAAACCATATTTGTCTTTAATCATGCCTACCAAATACGAGTATATTGCAGCGTTTAACTAATCCAACACCCGCATATTTAGACGTTAGTGAAATAATGAAACATGACAACTTGCCTATTAATTAACGCAAAATGCTCCACCTTTCCAAAGCTGTAGAACCGCTTCACGAATTTGGACCAAGATAATAAAACCATATTTTTAATCCTCAGAACAAGATCTTTAAGACGATAAACACCTGTAAGCAGAGACAGCGTGTTAACTATGAAAATTAGATATATATAAACATGTCAGTTAGAATATTCGGCCAACATAAAACGTATAGGCATTTCTCAAGCTGTAGATTCGCTCTGGAATGTCGGCCACAATAATAAAGACATATTTGTAATCCTCATAGCAAGATCTTTAATCTGATAAATAATACGTATATTGCAGCGTGTTAACTAGTCCAACACCCGGCATATTTAGACGTTAGTGAAATAATGCAACATGACAACATTAATTAACAAAATGCACCTTTAAGACGATACTAAACTTTGAAGTAAAATTGTAGCGTGTTAACTTCATGAAAATTAGATATATATAAACATGTCAGTTAAGTACCGCGAATATTAAGTAACGCAAAACGTCTCCACATTTCTCGTTGTAGATTCGCTCCGGAATGTCGGCCACAATAATAAAGACATATTTGTAATCCTCTAGCAAGATCTTTAATCTGATCAAATACGAGTATATTGCAGCGTGTTAACTAGTCCAACACCCGGCGTATTTAGACGTTAGTGAAATAATGAAACATGACAACTTGCCTATTAATTAACGCAAAAATGCTCCACCTTTCCAAAGCTGTAGAACCGCTTCACGAATTTGGACCAAGATAATAAAAACCATATTTTAATCCTCAGAACAAGATCTTTAAGACGATACTAAACACAAGTAAATTGTAGCGTGTTAACTTCATGA